TTTCTAAAATACCCCCAATACCCCCCCCCCCCCCCCCAAAAAAAAAAAAAGGCAGCAAGACCTGCAGGTGCCATTCATGCTTCCTAGTACTAACTTTTTAAAACCCAATTCATACAGCAAAACAGGGCTGGTCACCACCACCTGGGAGAGACTTTACTTCTTCACCCAAGGCGGGAATCTCATGTGTCAGCCCAGGGGGGCCGTGGCCGGAGGCTTGATCCAGGACCTGGACAACTGCTCGGTGATGGCGGTGGATTGTGAAGACCGGCGATACTGCTTCCAGATCACCACTCCTAATGGAAAATCGTAGGCCTCACGGGTTTTGTTTGGGAGGAGAACAAGTGTAGTGACTCCACCCCTGCCAAGGGCTTCCTGGCTCATGCCTACATGCCAGCCTTCCCTGGGAGAGGCCCAGTTCTGGGTATTGTTGACCTTTCAGGAGGATGATTTTATATTCTCCTTAAACAAGCGCATGTGACCCATGTGGGATTCAGGCTGCCTTAATTAAGGAGCCCTAGTCAGGATTTGTCTGTGGCTTTGGAGAACAGATGACCCACATGTGTAAGACGACAACAGAAGTAGTTGTCAGCACAGATTCTCAGAGAGGGAGGGAGAGAAGTCCATGGCTCCTCCTAGCCAGTGCCTAAGCAAGCATCTGTGTCCGTGCTGGGATGAGGAGAGGGGTAAGGAAGACCTGCCTGAGGAGTCCTTGTTTCCAGCTAAAGCAGGAGATGGGAACAGTCCGTGCAGCTGCAGCAGGATCACATGTTACCATGCTGTTTCCACCTCAGGGGCCCAGAAGAGGCCATGCTTTAAAAATCGGCAGCCATGTAGTCCTTCGCAGTAGATCCCATCCCAGTGGGAGCCCCTCTCACTTAGAGCAGTGGGTTCCAAACTGTGCTCCACAGAGTTCAGAGTCCCCAGAAGTGCCTCAGGGTTCACCTGTCCAGGCAGGGAAGTGCCTTGTCCTTCAGCCAGCGCTGCCCTATTTGTATTTGCTTTCTCTGCTGGGGCTCTAAGTTAAGATGTTATCTGAACAATAGAGTATTCCAGGTGCAGGTGGGGACAGTGTTGTGACAGTGTGAATCATCTTTTCTCCTGGGTCGGCACAGCAGCTTTAGACATCATCCTTCCTCCTTGGTGATGGGAAATGACCTAGGAATGAAGATTCTTGGATTCTAGTCATGGCCCCTTGCAGTTCCTTAATTCCTCTGGGTGTCACTTTCCTCAGATATAAAATAAGATCTGTGTTCCTTCATCTGCTACGGATACAAGGAACAAAGGAACTAACAGGTGTGGAGTCCCTTTAAAGACTTAAGGCCTTCACAAAGGTGGGGCAGTATTGTTACCTTATTCCCTGGCCTTCCATGTGCAGATTTTCTTGTTCTGGAAAAGGAGTGGAGCGGCTGCTAAGTCCTTCTTTGGGTGCGGCTGGCAGAGTGGCAGGGCCAGAGTCCTGGTTGCCTTGGATCATCCTAAAAGGTGGTCAACAAGATGGTCCTCACTATGGAATCACAGATTTGCGTTAGAAGATCTGAGTCCAACCTTCTCATTTTATAGATGAGAAAGCTGAGGCCCAGGGAAAGGAAGTGTTTGTCCGGGACCATGTCCTGAATTAGCAGCAAAGCCAGACCCAGGACCCCATTTTCTTTCCTTCCCATCATCTGCCTTCCTGGCCCTTTCCCTTTGGCAGCCAAGCTGACGTCAGCTTATGTAGAATAATCCTCAGATACTGAGATCTGGGAAGCACTGATTTAGATACGTTTTGTTTCAGGGGAATAACCCTCCAGGCAGAGAGCAGAAAGGAAAATGAAGAGGTACAGATTTTGTTTGTTTCACCTCTTTCCTAATGTTGTGGGTGACTTTGGGATTCAGTTTTTTAAAATGTTCTCTACAGTGGATATGTGCGATAAACAACATCTCCAGACAGATCTACCTGACTGACAACCCAGAGGTAATTCACAGCTGCTTGCCTGTCAGCCCTTTTCTCAACCTGAAAGGTAAGCGCCCACTTCCTGGGACTAACTGTGTCTTCCTGTGGATTTTTAGGCAGTCGCAATCAAGTTGAATCAGACGGCTCTCCAAGCAGTGACTCCCATTACAAGTTTTGGGAAAAAACAAGAAAGCTTGTGCCCCAGGTAACTAAAGGACAAAGGAAAACTAGCTTTTGTGGAGCTAAACCATGTATTAGGAATTTGACACGAGTTGTTACTTAATTCCAAAAGCACCAAGGGATATTGCTCAGCCCTGGTTAACAGAAGCATTAACTATGACTGAGAAAGGTTAAATATTTTGGCCGCATTCACACGGCAGGTGAGTGGCAGAGCCAGGATTCAGACATGTCTGATTTCCACAACCCTGCCCTTCCCACCGGACGATGCTGCTGCAGTCCGAGCAAATAGGCGTGCATGGAAGGTCCTGCTAGTCAGGAGTTCCCTCCACATTTTCTAGCAGCATCCCAAGTAACATAACCAAAACAAACTTTTTATTAAATAAGGAACAAACTCGTCTCCTATGTGTGTGTCCGTGTTATACTGCCCAGGCCTCATCTATACATATATACTGATAATTTCATATGTACATTTATTTTGCATTTTTACATATATTTTTTTAATATTTCTTCATTTTTCATAGTTCCTTTCAATAACTATACACTATTTCATCATTTATTATTATTATTGAATAACAGGCTACCTTCCTTCCTTTGTTTGCTTTTATAGTGAATATTTTCATGCATATAGCTTTTCTCATTTCAAATACTGCTTTAGGATTTATTCCAAGAATAAATATAAATCCTTAATAGGAATTTCCATTTGGTTAAATAGCAGAGGGCTTTATTATTTGTCATGCCAATGAAAACTTGGCATCAAAGGGTAAATTAAAATTATGACTATATTTGTTGTCCACCTTTTAAATGGCCTGGTGAAAAGAGCCCCATTAAAGTTTTTACAAATGTCATCTAATGACCCCAGAAGGAAGTCATTAGAAAGCTCAGAGTGGTTAGGTAACTTCCCAGGGTCATGTGCAGGTGGCGCTTACACACTTGGCATTGGGCACATGAAAAGGAATGATAGAAGGTAAGGAAAGAAAATATGTTTGAGTGTGAATGTGAAAGACTTGGGTGCCCTGCTTAGGAGTTACAGGCAGCAGAGCAGAACTGAAGGTTTTGAGAAAAGTGACAGAACCAGGTTTAGAAAAACTGTTCTGCAGCACTATATAAGGATAAATTCGACAGGGTCAGAGGGGAGAAGGGGAGGGTAGAAAGACCCAACGGGATGTTGCTGTAGCAGCAGCTATGACATAGAACATGGGAGAACCTGAACAAAGGTAATAAAAATGGGAAAGAGGCTACACATTTCAGGACTGTAATTTAAGGATTTAACAGTTTATACAGGTAGCATGCTTATTAAGTGCAGCACTGAGGCAGGCACTCCCTGAAAGGAAATGGACATAAAGATTCAGTCAGTGAGGGTTAGTCTATTAGCCTTTTCCTGGGTAAATGCGTCTGTCTTCTCTCTGTCAGCTTACAAAAATGTTTGATGGGCACAGTGGAGCAGATACTAGACGTGGGATAGGAGACATGGGTTCTACTGACAGCTCTTCCTTGTACACAGCTAGATATCCTTGAGTAAGTCAGTCAGTTCTCCAGGCCTTTGTTTCCTCAACTCTGTGACATAAGGAGTCAAGAAACCAGGTGACCTCCAAAGTCCCTTCCAGCTCTAATATGCCTTCCTTCCAGGGTACTGATGTATAGTTCAACTAATGTTAGTAATTATAAGGTGTGATTGGCTTTCTAAAAAGACAATTTGTAGCTCAGATTTAATTATTCAGTAATTTCTCTCCCCTGTTCTACAATAAGTAAATCACATTCTTAAACAGAAAGGACCCCACAAAAGGGACACACAAAAACCTGTGGGGAAAAATGTGACTCTAGCCAACCAAATGAATTAACCAGAGATTGGGTAACAGATGTGGCTGCCAGATGTCCCAATAGTTGTGGGGGGAGGGGTACCATCTCTCGTAGAGTCAGTTCATTAAGAATAATGTTTTGATGACAGTGGAGGAAAGAAGCAAATTATATTTTGCCATTTACTTATAAACAAATATCATGTGTGGCCTTCCCTCATTCTGCAGTTATTATATATCTACTATTCATTAATTTGTCCAGCTAATCACAAATATTTGAGTATCCACTATGTGTCCAGGTCTGGCCTAGGTAATGAAAGTTATGGACTAATGAAGGAAGACAGGCTAAAGGTCAACAAATACTTAAAAATGGGGAGAACCCTATGATATTAATTACAAGGGTACTGTCATAAAGAGGAGACCTATGTAGGGCCTGGCTGTGGAGATAATATTTAAACTGAGAAGTAAAAGGAAGTAGCCACTCTTGCAAAGAAACAATATTGGTGTTTCTAACCACATTCTATTCAGTCTGATCTTTGTCAAATGGCTATTGAAAAGTTTCATAGAGGACATTCAGTTATTGACATGTTTGAGAAACAAGAAAATATTGGCATATAAAATATCAAATGAACAGAAAGATAATTCAGAGCTTTTTATGGTCCAAACAGTGTAAGAAATCATAATACTTTTATATTCTTTGTCCTTCAAAGGAGTTTACACTCTAGCTGGGGAGAAAAATATTTCAAAAATGTGAAAAGTAAAATTACAGCATTCTGACACTGGAAGAGAAGAAACACGTTGGTACACTATTAATCACTGTGCAAACGGCACACTGTTTTAGGGGCCACCATCTCAGTAGCGGTGGGCACAGTGCTAAGCGCAGGAGGCGCACAGGGGTCCGAGACTGTCCCTGTGATGTGCTGAGAAGAATCACAGTTCAGAGGAGAGAGAGAGGTTCAGGCTAGCCCAGTGGATGAGTAGGAATTCGTGCTGGTGTTTGCAGTACAGTTGGGTGAGCAGTGGAATTGGGAAAGAGACAGAAATATGGTTGTGTGGTGTAGCTCTGGCCTTTGGGAAATCAGAGCCAGATTGTGATTAAATGCCAGGCCAAGATATTTTGTCCATTCAGCTAACATTTTTGAGTGCCTACTATGTGTCAAGTAATAAATATGACTTAGCTATATCCCTGACCCTCAAACCCTGTCTCACAGGAAGAAAGAAACCAACAGATTAGTATCTATGTAAAAAGTAGCCTCACACACAGTACACGATGCTGTGCAGCATAGAGAACTGGAGGTAGTGGGAAGATTTGAAGGTTTTTATTCAAGGATATGAATGAAATGTTAGGAAGACTTATTTGTAGAATGGATTGAGGGATCGATTGAAATCTTCTCCCTGTATTTCTATTTGTAAAAGTCACATCAGCATTAAACAAGTTTTCACTTGATTGTAAAGGCATAAGCTTAAAAGAGATTTTTTTTTCCCTTCTATTTTATATTCCAGCCAGAATCTGAAAAATTCAGAGATGGAAAATGACAAGATTGTTCCCAAAGCAACAGTCAGTGCTCCTGAAGCAGAAGAACTGATTGCACCTGGAACACCTATTCAATTTGACATCGTACTTCCTGCCACAGAATTCCTTGATCAGAACAGAGGCAGCAGGTATGGGCTAATGGAGGTTTTCTCTTGGAGAAATGAAAATAAAATTTGAAATCTTTCGTGTCCCCACCCACCACCAAAGACTGTTGCCATTCTGACTTAGAGTTCAAGTGTTAAGTGTCCTTTTACCTGAAGCTGTCATTACTGTTTAACTCTGGCTGTTCCCCTAGGCGTATCAACCCTTTTGGTGAAACCGAGGATGCGTCATTTCCAGAAGCAGAAGGTAAGTGGCTAGTTTGGTGTGCTTATTTTTTCCTCTGTGCAGAATGACAAGGGCCATTGAAGTAAGATGTGAAATCATGTTCTAGAGAGCTGTGATTTGGAATATGAATTGAAATTATGATTTGTTATTCTCTGTGAAAATTTAGTAGGACATGTGCAGAAAGGGCGGGTCTTGGGCAAAAACTGAGGGTGTTGGAAAAACTTTTCTCCAGCTGTTCCACCATTAGCCACACCCATACCCTTTCAGCATAGAAATGTTGCCAAATCTAAACCTGGTATCACGTTCCTACAAACCAGATTCAAAGAGGATAAAATGATCATGGTAAGATGCAGTCTTATTGAATCAAATATTATGCTATTTCATTTTAGAAAACCAAAAGCCACAAATAACTCATTCTTGAATTTGAAGATGCCATGAATACTTAAGTTGTTTAAATTCAGGTATTTGTTGTTTAATTTACACTCAGTTCTTATAATGTACTTAAGAACATATTCAAACACGGTACCCCACAGATATATACAGTCAATTATGTTTCAATTTTTAAAAAAATTAAAAAGGACATACCCAGTGGAGCTGACCATAGTCTGCTACTCACTTGCACAGACTTAGCATTCCCAGCCAAGGCAATTTAGTAACAGAGTGCTAGCAAGACCTCATGTTAACACAGCTTCGTGACTAGAGCCTGAGAATGTCATCAGAATGAAACTACACGCCAATTTAAATGTAGGACTTGAGAATTGGCATTCTTTATAGCCTTAGGCAAAAAAAAAAAGTGTTTTTTAATGATGTTGATAGGCTGTGCCTCAAATCTCTCTTTACTTGTATCTAGCTGACTCTTTAAACAGTCCACAGTTTGTCAACAATCCATACAAAAAACTTATAAACAGTGCACACAAAAAAACTATCTTCATAGGGGAGCGACCATTTATAACATTATATCAGTTTATATTTTCCTAATAAATTTTTTAACCCTGAAGTTATTTTTAGGGGCTTGGGGGTCGGTGGGGGCACTTCTTGGTTTTAAATAATTGGTAAGGGAATTATTGTTCTTACAGAAAAATACTGATGATCTTTTTAAACATTCTTCAGGATCTTCTAGTTATGGTTACTTTTGTTCAGTTTTGTCAGGTTATGTGCCTTTATCAAGAATAGTACTGGCAGTTCATTACAGTCAATAAGCAAATTACTGTAGCTTGAGCTCTCCATTAGTTTATGAAATATCATCACTGCTATGATGACTTAGTAATAAATATGTATGCATTAAGTGAGACCCAACATCAAGCCTTTTTTCCTGCAAATAAATTTTCTTCTATAGGAGGAATTTATCAGTGGGCCAAAGTAATGACTTTTCTATTATCTAATGGAAAAGCTCTTATTTTCAGAGAAAAGGTAAAAGGTCACCACATATAATCACCTAGAGTTTCAGTGCTAGAAAGATGTTCATTCGGTACCACTATCTCATTTTATAGATGAAGAAAAAAGAGGATTCTTTTGTCTAATGAAGTAGTCCCAAATAAGCTGACAAAATGTAGACAATAAAAGATGCAGAGCTTTGGCAATATTGGGTTTATAGAAGCAGTACTGAGAAATTTTGGTAGAAAGTCTTTCCATAGAAAGCAGGCAAAACCTGAGATCTCCAGCCTGTTCTCAGACCCGCACACCTGACACTGGTATGCACATCAGCCACAGGCAGGAAGGAAATGTGATCCTGAGTGGAACATGCTCTCTTGCAGATTCCCTTTTGCAACAGATGTTTATAGTTCGGTTTTTGGGATCAATGGCAGTTAAAACAGACAGCACCACTGAAGTGATTTATGAAGCAATGAGACAAGTGCTGGCCGCGCGGGCTATTCATAACATCTTCCGAACGACAGAGTCCCATCTCATGGTCACCAGTCAAACTCTGAGGTATTTTCAGACTTTCTCATGGCTTCATCTAATTCCCCTTAAGGCATATTAGCCCATCTGGCACGTTAGTGCTAGAATGTTTGTTGGATCGGATTAAATGAAGATGCTACTCGTTTTTGCCCCTACCCCTTATTTTACTTTTTAATTTTATAAGGTGTATAGGATAGAAGATGCTCCCTTAAAGACAAGAACTGATATCTTTAAAATTTCAGTGGTGAGTGAATACTATTGTTTATAATGATGCCAACACTCTAGAGTTATCCTATTATATCTCAGAGCTGGAAAATGGAAGGTTTTTGGTTTTTTCATTTCTGAGAGTACTATTTATAAAAATTAACAATAATGAAAAAACATGAACCTGCCTGAAATAACTGGACAACCGCAAGGAAAATATGATTGACATTTTTGTTTAGAGGGCCAAAACAGAGGCCAAGCAACGTTAACTGGGTGATTTGGGGTTTCAGGTGCTAAGATCTACAGTAATGATAGACAGTGAATCACTGTGATGTGACGGTCACCAGCACAGGCTCTGTTAGGAGCTGCACTGTCCAATACATCTTCTCAGCCACATACAGCACTTGTAACATAACCAGTCTGAAGTGAGAGGTGTTTTCAGTGTTAAATATGTACTGAAGTTTTGAGATATCATACCCCCTCCCCAAATAAGAATGTAAAATACCTCTTTAATAATTTTTTAGGTTAACTATATTTCTACTTGGTAATATGTTAGATATCCTGGATTAAATAGAATAAATTAATTTCACCAGTTTCTTTTCATTTTTCTAATGTGGTTGTCAGAGAAATTTAAATTATGTATAAGGCTCACAATATATTTCTGTGGGACAGCACTGCTTTAGAACCAAGATGTCCAGGTTTATTCCAGGATTTGGCATTTCTTAGTTATATGACCTTGGGCAACTTATTCAACCTCTATATCTCAGTTTTTTCAGCTATAAAAATGAAAGTAACCCTATCCACACCCCATAGTGTTGTCATGAGGAATAAATGAGTTTATACAGGTTGAGTATCCCTTATCCAAAATGCTTGGAACAAGAAGTGTTTCAGATTTTGGATTTTTTTGGATTTTAAAATATTTGCATATACATAATGAGATATTTTGGGGATGGGACCCAAGTCTATTGTAAATGATGGACACTAGAAGAGTCTTTTTTTCCTGTGGAGAACACTGAGTTGTCTTACACGCCTACATTTTGACTGTGATCCATCACACGATATCAGGTGTGGAACTACTTGAGGTTTTAGGTTTTGGGGCATTTCAGGTTTCAGAGTTTTGGACAAGGGAAGCTCAACCTGTTTATGTAAAACAATTACAGCTGACTGGCACATGGAAAGTGTTCAATAAATGTTAGCTTCAAAAAAGGTAACTAGATGGGCCGGCCCGGTGGCGCACTGCTACAGTGCGCCGCTTGCGAGCGCGGTGGCGCTCCCGCCAAGGGTTCGGATCCCACATACAGACCGGCCGCTCACTGGCTGAGCGAGGTGCGGGCGCAACGCCGAGGGTTGCGATCCCGTTACCGGTCCCGGTCCAGTACGGGCACGACAGTGAGGGTTGCGATCTGTTGCCGGTCACGAAAAAAGACAAAAAGGAAAAAAAATAAAAAAATAAAAAAGGTAACTAGAGGGCCGGCCTGGTGGCACACTGGAGAGTGCGCCACTTGGGAGCACGATGGCGCTCCCGCCGAGGGTTCGGATCCCATGTGGAGACCAGTTCCC